AAAAAAAAGACATGGTGAGAATTGAGATACTTCAACTCATATATAAATGACCACACCATTACTTGAACTAGGGTTTGATCTCATACTCACCATCACCCCACGATATATTGAAATGATCGTCGATCTCATTCCAATTCCAATAATCGGGCAAATCCAACGGCCCATTGCTAGAGCTCGGCATATAACCCACACTCGTGATACTCGATTCTTCAATCAAATCAAGATTTCCTTGATCATATGGGCCACCAAATACATTAAACGAGTCACGATAATAAGAGATGGGATTCAAAGACGTACCCATTTCGAAAGCGCTCAAACTCGACAGCTGGAACTGAGAATTCAAACCCGAAGAACAAGTAATCACGTTCCCGCCATTATTATTATTATTATTATTATTATTATTATTATTATTAGTATCCGATTTTTCGTGCAGTAAAGGAGATCCAATGAGCGTATGATAAAGAGCGGTTGACGTGCTTTTCTTATTCCCGCCGGAAATCTTAGGCCGTTTGTTTTTCCGGCCGCCGCCAACCGGAACGTTCCGGAGGGTTCCGCCTTTAGTCCAGTGCCTCTTGCATGACTTGCACAAATGGCGAGGCTGAGATTTATTGTAGTTATTATAGTAACAAAATTTGGTGTTGGTTGACCCGCATCTCGGGCACTTGGACGTGGGCTCAGGGAGCTCCGGTGCACCTGACCGCGGAGTAGCTTTCCCGGACGGCCAATCAAAAGCCGGAAGGTCTCCGGAGGAGACAGCTTGTTTAGTGCTCAATCCCATGTTTGAATAATCCAGTGTATTGTAGTAATTAACTAACTTGATAAGTATAGACTAATCAAGATTTTTGAAGGGAGGGAGAAAGAAAGAGAGGCAAAAATGATGTGGATGGTACGAGGTGTATTAAATTCTCATGATGAGGAGGTGAAAACAGTTTTGTGAGAATATATAACTGCATAAGACCAGATTTTATGTTATTATTTTTTATTTTATGTGTTATTTTTATTATATTATATAGGAAGGTGGTCTGAAAATAATGAAGATTCTAACAAGTGTATTTGTATATATGTGGTTTGGGCAATCACTGTCTATCAATCTATCTGTAAAAACAAATATATAATAATTCTGGGGGAAGAGGATTAGGATTAGGATCAGGATCACACAAGGGGTTGGTTAATGGTTGTGTGGTCCAAGTACTCCAATGGTCTCAATTGGTGTATATGTGGGGTGTGGGGTGGGGGCTCAACTATTTTTGGTTTTAAGCTCTATCAAATAATATATATGCACATTAATTAAGCTTCTACATCGGGACCCCACTTTCGAATCGGGAGCGTATTATGTGTATGATTGTGATATCATTATTTTAAATTAAATAATACGTAGTTTGTGCGATGCACAAAACAGAGATGTTAAATGAATCATTTTAGGGCCTATTCGTTTAAGTCTAGAAAAGAATAAAATTGAATCATCTATTTTGCACATCTTGGGATGCACGGGAAGATGTTAAATGCGTCATTTCCATATGGTGTATCCTTTTATACCTAAAAAACAATAAAAGCGGATAATCTATTTTTCATATTTTTAATTAGCATTGTTGTTACAGCCAGAATGTTAAACCTGAGCCTGTTGACGATAACCACAAAATTAACTAATATATTATCTCGCTAACTCGTTTGCACTAACACTTTAGTATATATATTTATTCTTTGGTATATCAAAAAAATAAAAGTTTTATTTATTCTTGTTCGCCATATATATATATATATAGGCAAAATTGCATATAAAAGCACCACCTTTTATGTTTTTGCATTTTAATCACGACCTTCTCATATTAGCACTTAAGTACATGACCTTTCATCTCTTTGCAAGTCGAAGCACGACTTTCATCTCCGGCACCAATTAAATGACGTGGCCTGCCGGAATACACATCTGGAATTTAGAAAAGCGAGAAAAATGCCAAAATAAAATCCACGTCGTTTATTTGACACGTCGGCTGCACCAAAAAATTAAAAAACGAGAATCTAAATTCCACGTCGAGTGCAGAAATCTTAATATATGTCACCCTCTCATTCTCTATCGTTCACAAACAGAACCATAATTTTCTTCTTCAATTTCTGTGAATATGGCAATAATGGCAAAGTTCTTGTGAATCAGATGCTCTTCAATTTCAGTAAACATTCTCCACGGCTTTGGAATTGCACCCCAAAATTCCCAATTCTTCTTCATATACGAACCCTAATTGTGTTTTTCGAAACCCCCAATTTGTCCTGAAAATGTCGAGCGGATCTAGCAGTCGAACCACAATTCTTCATCCTCCTACTTGTAAACATGGTCAAGCGGAGCTACTGACCTCGAACACGGATAAAAATCCAGCTCGGAGGTATTATCGCTGTGTTGAGAGAACTGTAAGATTTTTTTTTTTAAAAAAAAAAAAATCTGTTCTGTCATTGTTCATTCTATTTTTTGGCTTTGTGAATATGTGCTCGGATTATGATAATGTGTTGTTTTTCTGTGTTTGTGGTACAATGGTTGAGTGAAGAAGTGATACATTGCCTGTATATTGATATTTTTTATGCAATGGTTGACTGAAGAATTGGGCATACTTGAATTCTATTTTTTGGCTTTGTGAATATGTGCTCGGATTATGAATAATACTGGATTAGCTCAGTGTATTCTATGCATACTTGAATTCTATTCTGCATACTTGGGATGATGGAATTTTATCCTGCGCAGACTATCATATTCAATGCCAATTTCCATACTAATTTCCCTATTTGTACATTAAATCACATATTGAGATTCCCTAATAATGCAGACCAATGATTGCAAATTTTTTGAGTGGCATGATGCTGAGTTGCCACCATTTCAGAAGGCTTGCTTCTTGAGAATGAAGGCTCAAAAGAACTTGCTAGAAGAGCAATTGAAATGTAAAAGTATCTCTGAAAGTCTTATGTCTGAAAGGCTAGAGATCAAAGAAAATGAGTTGCATCAGCTGAAGAACAAAATTCAAGAGTTGGAGATGAAAGAAAATGAGTTGCATCAATTGAAGAAGAAAATTGAAGAGTTGGAGCAGAATGTGCATAACCATTCAAGGAGACTGAAATTTGAGAGAAATGTCTTTATGTTATTTCTGTTTGTGTTATTTGTATCTATGTTCATTGTTAGAGACTCTGGTAAAGGTCAATTAATGTTGAAGTAGACTTTTGTGTTGTAGGGGACTTTGAAACATTGTACCTTTTGTGTTGTTTGGAAAAATTATCACTGTTGTCTGATTTGTGTTTGTAAGGTCAATTAATGTTGAAGTAGATTTTTGTGTTTTAGGGGACTTTGAAATATTGTACCTTTTGTATTGGTTGGATAAATTATCAATGTTGTGTGATTTGTGTTTGTAAAGACATGGACAACTTAAATGTTGTGTGAAATTTGTGTCTGTCCTGTAAGCACATGATATGCTTCTTTAAACATAACCAATACCATTAATAAAAGCCCTGCACCATGCAATTTAAACACACAATAGCAACTGATAAGATTTCTTGGCATAAACATAAACAACAACATTAATAAAGGTCTTCAAACCATGTCATTCAAACACACAAGATTCTTTACAAAAGAGCAACTGAAATGACATAAACACATTAATTCCTTACAACTGAATTGACAAAAGAGCAACTTCATGTTTGACACTTCAAATTTAATTTCCTACATACTGAATTCCACAAAAGATAGCACCTAAACAAATGGTGCAATACAATATCCATGGTCTTCATGACTTATCCAGATACATTGCACTTCCAACATCAAAATGCCAAAAAAAAAAAAAAAACTACTTGGCGACACTTTCTTGTGTTCCTGCAATGTCTCCTCCAGGTTCTCTTGTCACTTGGCTAGTCCCTCCAGTTGAAGACAAACAATGAACTCTTTTGTCACTTGACATCTAACATATTAAAAAATTAGTGTTAATTAGACCTTATAATGCACCATTAATTTGTATAAAGAAAACTACTCACTGTTATGTAAATTGCACCAGTTTCTTCAGATTGGTAAACACCATAACCCTTTCTTGCCTGCATTAGATACACAACAAATCAATGAACAACACTTATTTAAGCTTATTACTAATGAAAGTGGAATTCAGACAATCCTCATAATACCATTGCTCTATCCTTGTACATTTGCCCCTGGCCAGATTGTGTAGTTCTCTGTCTAACTGGCATTTTCCTCTTTCTGCCTTCCATAGGGGTAGATTTTTCTTTTTCTAAATGGCATGTTCTGTCATTCTGAATTGCATTAGGAACCTCATTTACAGGAGGACACATTCTGTCCTGTAATCTCGGCCTTCCAATCTTTTTCTACAATTCAAACAAGCATACAAATGCTTTAAGATTAAGATACAAATAAAAAGGAGAAAATCAAGTATAAATGCAACAATTAATACTCACCCTTGGTGGCTTAGGAGCAGCTTCATTTTTACAGGTTCTTTTGTTGTGACCAACCTGCAAGCACTTCTGGCATCTCATTTGCAAGCCAAATCTTTTCAATGTTGTAGCACTCTTGGCTTCTTCCTCAGGTGCTTTTCTCCTTACAATCTTAGGTCTTCCTGGCATTCTCTTATATGGAGGTGGTTTTACCTTAGTACCAAGTGCAGTAGGCCACATTTTCTTGCCATTCAAGGGTTCAAGGGCAGGTGAATATGCTTGCAGATATCTATCTGTACTGAAGTATGGGTTCACAAAATCTACCACATCTCTCTTCATATAGTGTATTGCTGAACAAGCATGGGTACAAGGTATACCAGAAATATCCCACTCCCTACATGTGCAACTTAAATCCCTCAAATCAACTACAAACTGATCATCATTAACAGCAACTTGAAACTTGTCACCCACAGCAGGCTTAGTCACACAAAGTCTACTTTTAAATTTAGCCTCCTCAACTTTCTTCCTAATCCTAGGACAGATAACATCAGTGCACTCATTTGTTGCCATTAGCTTCTGGTGGTGTCTCTCCATCACATATGTCCTAATCAGTTCCAACATTTCCACTATTGGTTTTTTCCTAGCCTTAACTATAGTGGAATTGAAAGTTTCACAGACATTATTACAAATCATATCACACTTAGGCATATCCATAATGAAAGCCTTACAGAATCTGAAAGTCTCCTTTGCCAAAAGATCTTTACATGCTTCAGGGTTCTCTGCCTTTAGATCATCAACAGCTTCTTTGTAAGCTGCTTTGTAAGTGTTGTTCACCACTTTCCAGTAGAGATGCTTCAGTACTTTTCCAGGATGTTTTTTTTTCCAGTTCATATACACATGCCTTGCACAATTCCTGTGCTCAGCATGTGGAGTGAGTTCATTTACAGCAGCAATAAGTCCCTATATAGAAACAAAACAAAATAGGAATAAGATATCTAAAAGTGCCTATATATAAACAAAACAAATAAGTAAGTTCATCAAAAGATAAAAAACTGATTACCTTTTGTTGATCACTAATGAAAGTCCAACCTAAACCATCCCCAATGCCAAGGTCCTGAAATAAGATATCTAAAAACCACTTCCAGTTTTCTTCATTTTCTGAGTTTGCAACAGCCCAAGCTATAGGAAATACTTGATTATTTCCATCTTTTCCAATAGCACACAACAAAACACCCCCCAGAAAGGTCTTAAGAAAACACCCATCAAAACCTATCACTGGCCTACAACCTTGCAAAAAACCTTGTCTTAAAGCACTAAAACCAATGAAAAAGGCCTTGAACACACTACCCGTGGCCAATAGGAGTTCAA